TCGTCGTCGTCGTCGTCGTCGTCGTCGTCGTAGTAGTAGTAGTAGTAGTAGTAGTAGTGGTGGTGGTGGTGGTGGTGGTGGTGGTGGTGGTGGTGGTGGTGGTGGTAGTAGTAGTTGTTGTAGTAGTTGTTGTTGCAGTGACCGTTGTAGTGCCCCTCCTCCGCCTCCTCCTCCTCCCCCTCTACGTTCTCCTCTGCTTCCTCCTCCTCCTCCTTCTCCTCCCCCTCGTTGTCCGCCTCGTGCTCCTGCTCCCTTGCGCCCCTGCCCCCCTCCTTTGCTCCCCCCCTCGATGGGGGAGGACGGGGGCTTCTGGCGGCAGGCCCTCCTCGCGGGCGACGCCTGCAGCCCTGGCAGCAAGATTGGCCTCACTGCGCCGCTCTCTCCGCCGGGCGGGCCGGCGGCCTCCTCCGTGGCGGCGCCCTCGCGCGCCTCGGATCGATACTCGCTCAAGGCGACGAGCCGTTGCTGTCGCCGACCCCTCCGCCGCCGCCACCGCTGCCGCGGAGCCGCAGCCTGCAGCAGCTCCGGCAGCGGCAGAATCAGCAGCAGCGGCAAAAGCAGGCGGCACCTTCCGCGCAAGTGCTGGCGGCGGTGGCGAGGCAGCGTGGTGAGGCGAGTTGGCGATCGTCGAGGCGTCGCCAACGGCGAGAAGAGTGCGCCAGTTGTGGCGACGGCTCGCGTCGCCGAAAGGCGATTCGTGCAGCAGCCGTTGATTTCATTTTCGTTTCGTAGGTTTCGGCTGTTGTGTGGTGCTTTCAGATGCAATGGTATCATCGCTGCCGCTGCCACCTCCTGCGCGGCCGCCGCCTTGTGCTGTCATGACTCGGAGTTCGACTGGCTGCCATTACTGCTATCATTGGTTGTCGTTGTTGCCCCTTGCTGCTGCTAATAATCCAGGCGTTCCCTGCTTTTGTCGAGCCTTTTCTGTCGTCGCCGCCTTTCGTTGGAATTTGTGGTTGGAGCTGTGACTGTTCGAGTGTGACAGCCTAGTGGCGATTTCGAGGCCTTCACCATCGAGCTGGCTGTGGAACACAATGTCATTCTGAGTCGATCAGCCCCGCCCGCCTCAGGAAGGGCCAGCATAATCGTGCAATGAACCGTTGTTCATATATTTTCGATTTGGGAGGAAATGTGAGCTTCCACGAGGAGAGGGAACGCCTTACGCTGATACCACTACGGCCACGCTGTGCGCACAACATTCGACGCGCACTGTAGCTCGAGTGCCTCATGTTCGTGAAGCTGCCCCTAATGAGTCTTACTCTTTTTGATGTCTCTGTATTCGAGCTCTCTCCTTGCACTCAAGAAACCGGGCTCGCAGATTTTTGCTGGTGCCACGCCGAGAGCTGAGGCGAACCATTCTCGTCTGGCTGCTCGCTCCAATCTGTGAACTATCGGAGTTCTTGGGTGAGAACGAGGCCACCTCATTTGGGAAGGCGGTATCTATTTCGGTTTCGGTTCGTGTCGTGCGTGCGTGCGGCCGTGGCGACACCGCGCGAGGGCAATGATGTGGCCGTGGCTCAGGCCAAGGCGGGCAACAATCCTTCCGTGTCGCGGGGCTCTCCCGTAGTCATCTTGTGGGTCGACATGTGGTTGTCCTGTTGTTGTCCCGTGGGTTGTCGGTTGTCCCGTGGTCGTGCCATGGGTTGTTTCGTGGGCTGTCCCGTGGTTGTCCCGTGGTTGTCCTGTGGTTCCGTGGTTTGCCCCGTGCTTGCACCATGATGGTCTGCGGGTTGTCCAGTGCTTTTCCCAAACATTCCGTGATTTTGTGTCCTCGTTTGAATCCGCAACGCCGCGCCTCACATCCTTTCCCTCACCTCTTCCCCCTCCTTCCTTCGTCCTCCGCCTGCGCATGTCGGCACCCCCACACGGTTCATGGCCTCCATCGGGAGCTCCACCGAATGCCACAGTGGCAATGTCTGCACGCGGTCACACCCCCAATGTCGGTGCCCCCCCACCCACACGTTTCGTGACCCATAGGGAGCTCCACTGAAGGACCCTGTGGTACAGTCCGCATGCGGATCCACCTCCCATTTCGGACAACCCTCACATATCTTGTGGTCGCACTACGGGGCTCCGCCGAAGGCCCAGTGGCGCAGTCCGCAGGCGGTTGCACGCTCCGAGTCTGCGCACCCTTCACACGTGCCTCGTGGGGAGCTCCACGGAAGGCTCAGGGGGCAACGTCCACACGGCTGCCCCGCCACACGTCGGTTCACCTCTCCCCTGTTTCGAAACCTCGTAGGGAGCTCCACCGAGGGCCCCAACGCCCGCGCGCGGTCTCGGACCAACTTCGGCGCACCCCTAACACGCTCCGTGGCCCCACGGGGAGCTCCACCGAAGGCCCCAGTGGCAGCGCCCGCATGCGGACTCGGGCCAATTTCGGCGCACCCCTCCAACGCTTCGTGGATCCAGGGGGAGCTCCACCGACTGCCCCAGTGGCAGCGCCCGCATGCGGACTCGGGTCCATTTCGGCGCATCCCTCACCGTCTTCGTGCCCCAATGTGGAGCTCCACCGAAACCCCAGTGGCAGCGCCCGCACGACGGCCCCAACCCAATTCGGCGCACACCTCACCGTCTTCGTGCCCCCGTAGGGAGCTCCACCGAGGGCCCCAGTGGCACAGTTCTTGTGACGGCCCCGCTCCATTTGCTGGCACGCCCCTCACACCCTTCGTGGCCCCGTGGGGAGCTCCACCGAAGGACCCCTTGACAGCGGCGGCATGGCTGCAGTTGCATCCATTTTGTGGCGCGCTGCCGATAAGGAGAGTTTTTTTTGCATGCCGCTCGAAGACTGACCGCCCCTTGCCTTCGCACAACCTGCCTAGTCGCCCTCGCAGCTGCACATGGCTGGGTCCTTCGCCAGGCTAATGTCCGTAGTTGTCCCCTGGGCAATGTACTTCGAAGTGCAAGTCCAATTACGGATGCATATGTATGTAGTTCGATGGCTCGCACAAACATTGGAGGTGTGGGGTGAGATCGCAGTGGGACGGAGGGCTTCACACCAGGACATCGGTTTCGATTTTGTTTTCTGCGGGCCAGGCGAAGCTGCGTGGGCGCGCGAGAGGAATGATCCCGCCATCGCTAGGCTGATTCGGAAGCAGAAGTCCGGCCCTTCGGTGAGCGCGCGGTGGCTGGGGGTGTCCACCCTTGATATCCCGCGCGGTCCCGATGGTATCCCACGGTGTCCCGCCGTGGTGTCCCGATGGTGTGTCGTGGTGTCCCGTGGTGTCCTGGGGGGTCCCAGTGGTGTCCGCGGTGTCTGGTGATGCGTGTGAAGGCCGCTCATATCAGCTTTCTATCCATCTATCCTGCTATCCTCTCGGTTCAGGTATTGGACAGCATCCGCGCCCCTGCTTCCGCGGGCGCATGGAGAAAAGAGACTCCACCTTCCTCCCAAGCGTCCTGTACCCACGGACCATACGATAGGTTTGACCCTTTGGTTGTCAGCTTCCGTTCGCAGGTTATCCGTCTATTCTATTACGTTCTCCGTTGCGACACCCCGCGCCGTCTTCGAGCCTGCCGCATGGCGCTGGACCCACGGCCACCAGTGCCTCTATGCGTGCTGGCTCTTCGACGGTGCGTGGGCGCCGCGACGACACGGAGAGGCAATGGGACAGAACATGATACCGCAATCCCCCCTACAAGGAGAAGGCAGCGCCGACGCTCGATCCGAAGCGAAGCTAGAGGCAGTCATGGACTCCTTCCAGTCTTTCGTGCTGGCGCAATCGTACACCCCAGGGCTTGGACCCAGCGCGCAATCGACCGGTCAATCACCTGATGCCAACATTGGTTCAGAACCCTCGCCGGTGGGATCACCCACGGAGGCCCTCGGAACCACCGCTGGATTCGCCTCGGCTTCTCCTCCTACCTTCGCCAGTGGGAACACCCCTGGTGGCGCGAACGAAACGTCTCCTCCGAGCGCTTCCGTGCGACACCGCTAGTGGGACGCCCGACGTCCCATGAGACCCTACGTCGGTTCCTGTGTCAGAACACGTGCGAGCCATTGAGGATCGCAGTGGGCACGCGGCAAAGAGTCCCCGAGCGGTATCGTCTCCAGTCTCAGGGTAGGGAACGCAGCCGCAGCCGCTGCCAGAGGCGCTCGCGGCAGAACTCCCCGCGGCGCGACATCGCGCCACAAGCGTCGCCCCCCACCAGTGATTTGGCAAAACTCAGAGACCAGGTCGAAACTTGCTGCGCAGATAGCCACCTTAAAGCAATACATTCAGGGCGCTCTTGTTCTGGTCGACGCTCGGATCGCCGAGGATCGATCGATCCCAAATCAGGTCCACTATCGAGCCGACCGCGCTGAATCGCGCCGAGGTGACGACTCTGCGGCCATCGAGACGCTGCGCGACTACCTTCTCGCCGTGGAGGCCAATTTCGTGAGAGTCAGGGATGCAGGCACTGCTGCCGTCAGGACACTACGCGATGAGCTCCTGTCAGTGCGGCAGGCTACAGCTACCGAGGTACATTGGCATGCGGATCAACCGTTCCGCGATGACCTCATTGCGCTTCGTGATCACGTTGATGTGACCGTTGCCAACCTACATTCACAAAATACCACAACCACGTCCGAGTTGCACGGCAAGTTGTTGAATGCCGAGATGGCTTTTGCTCGAAGTTTTGATGTTTCGGAGGGACGCGTGCCAGCGATTGAGAACCGAGTTCCCGCCGTCGAGCAGCAGTTGCCTGATCTACAGGCTGCACTGGCTGAGTTGCGTGTTGTACGGGCCCAGAGTGGCCGGCTGGGCACCCCGACTTCGGTTTGCGATTTCGCCGCCCTCGCCGCCGAGACGGCCGAGGTGCGGAAGGCGGCGGACCGCACGCAGTTGTGACTTACCCAGATCTCCCACTAAGGAGACGCTTGAAAAGGCGCGGGCCGAGGAATCCCTCGCCCGTTTGGAGCAGGAGCGCGAAGCACACCGCCGACGACTCCAGGACTTAGAGCATCGGCTGGGCCGGCACTCCCGGCGAACCCACGGCAACAACGAGGTGCGTGGTTTATGCAGAACGACATCACAACAACCGAAGCCACCATGGCGGCATACGTGAGCGACGCGCAGATCCACGTCCCGCCGCGACCTCCAGAACCTACCGCCGACGGTGCCCCAACCCTCGCCGATGGAAACATCCACGCTGGACAACCGCGACGTGCGTCGCCAGGAGCTGCCTCCGCTGCGGCCTCAGCTCAGACGCGTCGCGTTTCTCCCGCGCGCGCACCATCGCCGACGCCGCCGGTTCCATCGCGTAATATATCACAGTGCTCTCTTGGTGGTGCCACCCCGAGCAAGGAATCATATGTTCTCGCTTTCCCCAACTGCCGCGCATTGCGCAGTCGCAAGAGTGGCAACATGCGGCCAGGGAAATATTCGGCAGCGACTCAGGACGTCCTGCCAAGGCATGAACCTTTCTTTGCGTCGCCGAACGCCCTGACATTACATTTGAAGACTTGCAAGA